GTCTGGGAATACACTTCCACCCTCTGATGATCCCAAAGAACTCAACTTTTATAGGTCAAGCTGTGCTCGGCAGCTCCGTCGGCATTGGACAGGGGCTCCGGGTCAACACTTGGGCTGGAGAGCTGAACCTGGGGAACTCAACAGGTACGGGAGAAAGAAGTGAAAGAATAAAAATAATCAAATCACATGGTGTGATGTCTAACATGACTTTGCTTGATTGTTACACAATCGCTGCACTTGTGGAGCGAGTTTGACCAGCTGTGAAGTCCTCTGACATGTGATCTACGTCTGTTTCTGCAGCAACGTACTTGACCACCGTCACTGAGATTGGTTGTATCCCCATCAGCTCACTATTTAATACCGATGACAGTGCATGGGTCGCGACCAGGTTAGTCATGCCTTTTAGAATACACCATTACACTGTGCATACAGCACACCATATCCACACCAGTCATCTTAGTGACAGAGTGCTAATGTATCTACTTAGATGGCCTAACATAATCTCTTTGGTTTTCTTGTCACTGATGGAATAAACAGGGGTTATAGTCATGAAAACAATGCTTTCTTTCCAATCCAAAACTAAAAATGGATCTAGTTTCTGTACTAGGTCCTCCTTTTGAACAACATCTGGTATGGTAAACCATTAGATCAGCTATAAAACAGGAACTAAACCAAAATACAGAAGAGGAGCATAAAAAACTGCCTTTGTGCTATGGTTCAGCAGCTTGTAGAACCACTAACCCTAAATTGTTTCTTGTGTTTGAGACTGATGTTCCATTGGATCGTGATCTAGTTTGATCCAAGCTTCAGCTGTCAAACTGATTTGTTTCTTAGTACCATTTGATCTATAAAGGGGTCTATGGTGACATATGAATGTAATGAGCCCAAACCACAAGCCTTCCTCACTGTGCTGACAGCTGCTATGATGTGTTTGTGCTTTCTCTATAAAACTATGGACTCCAAATAGTATGGAAATTACTTTTATGTAGTGATGGCCTGTTTAAAACTGAAGGTTTGGGGCATGTATTGAAAAAAACAACACAGTGTCTCTGAAGCTCACAAAACTACACTCAAAAATAGTTGTTCACATGCAAAAACAACTGGTTTTTGGTGTCAACAGAAAACTGGTTGATCCACTTTGAGAATGTGCAGTTTACAAGACTGAGTTTGTTGCAGCTCCTCAGACTTAACCTTGTTAGATTTATCTATTGGATTATTGAGCAGCAGCAAGACACAAACTGGTTCAATACAAAAAGTCATAGATGCAGAAAATCTGCCGCAAACACTTCACTCCAAACTGTGTTGGGAATTAGATGTGATTGAATTTGAAAAAATATGAAAAAATATGTTTACTATTGTCAAGAAGTCACAAGTAAAGGGGCATCATGACATGCTCCATGTTTTAACATATTTATTCATCAAGTAACTAACTTTATTCTTTCACCAGCAAAAAAAAAAACAATGTTCATAAAATATGTCCTAAGTTAAAAAATGGTTAAAAATCTCCTGTTGTCGAACGTGGCTCCTTTTGTATAAGCAGAGAGAATACTTTTCTTCAACAAAAGCACCTCAATGGCAGTCCAATATCAGAGAGAAGTGTCTCAGGATATTAAACAAAAGCTGTCAACTCTTTCAGTTGGTCATCCACAAGGAAGCGGTTCATGTCAAGATGCTCTTTATACCTTTGGCCACAGGATGGCACTAAAGAAGACAGTATTGAAAAGCTTAGAGTAGAAACTTTTTCTAAGCAAGCTTCAGTCCTTAAGAACAGCTTCCTTTGACCATCACTACTTTTAATCCTTCCCTGATTGATGGACAGCTGTTTATCTAAGGTCATTGCTTATGTCTTTCTGTCTTGACATTGCATCGAGACACCAGAATGCTGCAGAGGATCAACAAACCTTATTCTCTGTAGGAGCTCACACTTACTGATGCTCAGTTACTCTTAACTTTGTAAGGAAGCAGTAAGAGTGAACTTCATACTTTATAAAGTACCTCAGTGTTTGGGCTGAGATTGTCTCAGACAAAAAACAATAGTGTAATAATGAGGAGACCAAAATTGAAAACTTATTTAAGCTCAATGGGACTAACCTCTATAAATAAATGTTGAATGAAAAAAATAACTTAAACTTATAACTTAAACGTATATCTTTTTATAACTTAACTTAAATTTGAAAAGTTATTTCATACCAAGGGCCAATTCAAGTCAATACATGAACTCCAGTCAGATACCCGACATCTTGGTTGCAGGTCCCTCAAGATATCCTGATGCATGCTCAATAATCCAGGTAGAAAAATCTAAAAATTTAAGTCTGGTCCTCTGGACATTCAAAAAAACAAAACAAAGCAAAACAACAAAAAAATGTAGAAATGTTTCGTCTTTCATCCGAAAGACTTCTTCAGGTTCCTCAAGAGTTTCATTGGTCTTATTCGACATTCACAGACAGGTTGTCAGCAACAAAATAAAAGATTATGGAAAAATTCAAACTACAGAAGCAATAAAAATATTTAATGTTTAATATTTTACCTTGGGAACCAGACAAGATATTAACAAGTAACATAATTGGTCCTCAGGCTTTGAGTTTGACATGCTTTTTTTTAATTCAACCTTTATTTTTACAGGCTAGCTTTATTGAACCACAGGAACTCATTTACAAGAGGGACCTGTTCCAGACAGAACATATAAAGTACAGACAACAAAACCGTAGACAATGACAACAATAAACTACAGTAAAAATGCAGAAATAAGAGTAGTGTACAAAACAATAAATCAGGGTGCCGTAAAACAGGATGAAATACTCAAATAAAAACACATTTGCTTAGATTTTTCTATTGACATTATCAAATGTTTGAAACTCCTTAAAAAAATCAAGGTGGACAACTTCAGTTCTTGTTGCAAGGTGTTCCAGGTTGCAGGAACTGAGTAGGAAAAGGCTTTTTTGCCCAGTTCAGTCCGCACTGAGGGAACGCTGCAGGTAATGATGGCCTGAAAGTGCATGTTGTAATTGCACTGACAGCATGACATGTGGGAGGAGACATAAGAAGGTAGCAGACCGAGGAAGGATTTATAGATGAAAATGAACCAGTTTGAGAGCATATGTGTAGATAATGATGACCAACTGACCAAGGAGTACAGAGTGCAGTGATGGGTACGGTAATTACAACCAGTTATGAATCTTAGCGCGCCATGGTAGACAGCATCCAACATCTGCAAGGAGCTGGCGGGGGCATTCATGTAAATAATGTCACCATAATCAATGGCCGGTAGGAAGGTAGGGTTTACAAGGTGTTTTCTGGCATTCAGAGTTAAGCAAGATCTATTTCTGAAAAAGAAACCGTTTTAATTTCTGTTTCTTTATCAAGTTTTCGATATGTGGTTTAAAAGAGAGATGTGCATTGACCAAAATTCCCAAGTATTTGTAAGAATCTACTAACTCCAAAGCTTCAACAACATCATTGAAAACCTTTAGGGAAGCAGTCATTTTGCTATGTAGTTTAACCAGATTTTTAGAGAAGATAAAATATTAAAAGTCCAAATACTTCTTGACTTGACTATTTATCAATTTTTCTAAAACTTTAACTAAAATACAGAATTTGGAGATTGGTCGATAATTGTTCAAAATACTGGGGTCTCCTCCTTTCAATAATGGCAGCACAAAAGCTGTTTTCCAAGCATCTGGGACACTATTGTGTTGTATAGACAGATTGAAAATATATGACATGGTTCTGCTATAATTTGTGCAGCTAGACTTAAAAGTAAGGAGGGAGGTTGTCAGGGCCTTCAGATTTTCTAGTATCCAGATCTTTTAAAAGTTTGGTAATCTCACTTACAGAGAACGGTGAAAAAGAAAATGTATAGTTTATTGAGGTTTGACTTTTTGGTGGAGTAGATGATTTACCTTTAGAAACTGTATTAAACAAGGAACTGGAGGCTACAAAATGTTTGTTGAAATAATATTGTGCTTATCTGACACAGGAGCAGAGTCAACAAATAATTGTGGTGGCAGGTCAGAATGCTGCCATCAAAAGATTTAATAGTTTTCCAGAAGCTCTTAGGATCTTTTAGATTTTTGGTGGTCTGAGATAAATGGTATTTTCATTTTTCTGCTTTAATGGAAGCTGTACAGCAATTCCGTAACTGACAAAAATGCAACCAATGGGTGTCCAAACAAGTCTGTCTTGCTGTTTCCCAAAGCTGGTCCCTCCTGTGCAAGAGGTCAGCTAACTCAGAAGTAAACCAGGGGCTATCCCAACCCTTTACTCTGAGCTCGCGAAGTGGAGCGTGTTTATTTACAAAATGAATGAAACTATTATAAAAATACTTTGTAGTTCCAAGCAAGGTTCACATCATCATTTAATGATATGCAATGCCAGTCAAAGTAGAACAGATCCCAAATAAATGTTTGTTCACAAAAATATTTCTTATTTCGTTTTAGAATTGTTCTAGGTTTTAAACAAGGCATTTTTGTATTTCTAATAGTAGCAATTACACAATGGTCACTTAGATCATTTGTAAAAACACCAAACCCAGTGTATTTATGTGATGATAAGATCCAGGAGAGATGATATGGCAGGGCACTTTGGTTTAGGCCAAGTGAGACTATCAATTATTTGACTAACCCTGCCGGTCAAAGCAGATGGCCGCTTGAGCCTGGTTCTGCTGGAGGTTTCTTCCTTTTAAAATAAATTTTTTCCTTTCCACTTTTGCCAGTATGCTTGCTCAGGATAGGAGACTGTGATGAAGTGAAGATTCAATGAGTCTGCTGGCTTCTTTAGATAGAGAACCTTACAAACTGGCCTTTCTATGTATGTGAACGTTCCTGTAAAGTGCCCTGAGACAACTTTGTTGTGATATGGCACTATAAAAATAAACTGAATTGAATTGAACTAGAATTTGAAGACAAACAAAATTCTTTAAAATTCCTCAGACACATGAGAGAGCCAATCTAAATTAAAATCTACCAGAACCATTTCATTGGGATGCAAATTAGATAAGAGCTTCATTAAAGTCAACAGGCTTTCAGATGTGGCGGTAGGAGGTCTATAGCAGCCAACAACAAATAATAATTGTCCAGCAGACAATTCAATGTGTAAGGTCAAGATTTCAAATTGTTTAGGCACTGATTTTGTAAATACCAGTTTTGTTAGATCTGATGTATATTTTTACACCTCCTCCTTTTCTGGGACGATCTGAACCATCCATCCATTTTCTTTACCCGCTTATTCCATTTTGGGTCATGGGAGTCGCCGGTGCCCATGTCCAACAATTACTGTGCGAGGGGCGGGGTACACCATGGACAGGTCTGCAGTCTATCACAGGGCCACATAGAGACAAACGAGACAAACAACCATTCACTCTGTCACTCACACCTAGGGACAATTTAGAGT